CTTTCTTCCCAACAGAATTCCTCAGCACAAAGAGAGACATGGCTCTGAACTCCATTTTTACCCTGCTTGCAAGCAGGCTTTCTTCCCAACAGAATTCCTCAGCACAAAGAGAGACATGGGTCCACATTTTATCCAGAAAGATTCAGAACACACACACACACACACACACACAGAGAGAATCACACAGCAAGGAAAGATTCCAGCAAGCATGCAGCCATTTTAAAACTGTAAAATCTACCCAGCAAGACCGATCAGAGCTCAGAACCACCCTCCACCTAGCCCTAAGCCCCCCCACCAACGAGCTGCAAAAAAGCCTGTACAGTAAAGTAAAAACATACTGTAGTGTGCTCACCCAGAACAGGCAATCTCTCTGCTTAAAAAAGGAATGCCAAAAATAAAAAATAGAAAATCCAAAAAAAAATTTAAAAGCCAAAAAATATATATATATAGAATACTGTACTCTACTGTCTGTACAGCACTGTACCAGTACCAGGCAGTCTGAAGACTGTCTCTCTATCCACTCTGTAAATGCTGGGAAGAGCGAGGAAGCAGACAACCACCCTCTTCGCTGGCCAACAGTTAACTGAAAGTTCAAATTTCGCTCCTTCCCTATCTCCCTCACCATTTGTTTTTTTTTGGCCTCCCTCACCGTTTTTTTTTTGTTCGAAACTTGAACCACAGGTTCGTAAGTAGGGTCCACTGTTTCTATGGATCGGGTTCGTAACTTGGGCAATGTTCATAAGTAGGGCCTGCTGTTTTCTATGAGATTGGGTTCGTAACTTGAAATGTTCGTAACTAGGGCCGTTCGTAAGTAGAGGGCCCACTGTAATGCAAAACCGCTTAATCCATCCTCTACTACTAGGGGGAGAATTTCTTTTAACCTAAAATGATTTAGGTTAAAAAAGGGCAGGAAAGGAGGGAGGGAGGGAACAATGGGAAAAAGAGGAAAGAAAGAAGGTCATCACTGGGGCACACAGACCCCTCAGACAAAGGTTTGTGCTTTTAAGCACAAAAAGAGAGAAGACAGAGAGAGAGAAGACAAAGGGGGGGGAGAGTGTGGAGTCTAAAACACATTTTAAACCCACACATTTTACACCAACACATTTTAAACCAAACCAAGCAATTTTTAACAAAACACATTTTAAACCAAAACAAGCACCTTTTGAACTCATCCAGCAGCACCTTTTAAAACAAAAGAGAGGTCACTTAGCTTTTGATGTCTTCTGGAGGACATCACGGTGACTTCTGGCTGGACGACAGGCAGGTGGGTGGTGAGATGGTCATCACTGCAAGGCAGAGGTCCCCTGCTTTGGATCATCTTCTCCAGGGGTTCCCTGTCGCTGTCTCTTGGCTGCAGGCTCCATCCTGGTGAAAAATCTATCCAGTTTCATCTGCTTCATCCTGAACTGCAGAATCTTTTTGAAATGGCTGACCATGTTGTTATTCACCATGTCCATAACTCTTCCTGTAACAGTCCTGTTTGGGTGGTGCCTCTCAAAGAAGTCCTAGCACTCGGTCCATTTCTTGCAGATGGATCTTATCTCCTTGCTGCTAACCTGCACTGCCTCTTCCTCAGTGGAAAGGTCCTCCACAAGAGCCTTCTGCTGCTCGGTTTGCAGTTCTGAAAGTTCTTTTGTCATCAACTCCTCTTTGTGGTCTTCAACCAGCTCCTCTATATCCTCCTCATCAACATCCAGACCTATGGTTTCACCCATGGAGATGATGTCCCGCACCATCTATGCATCAGTCACCTCAGTGCCACTGTCTGTGGTACATTCTGGCCACAGTTTCCTCCAGACTGAGTTTAAGGTCTGAGTTGTGACATCTTGCCAGGCCTTGTCAATGTGTCTGACACATTGGAGGAGATTGAAATGTGTCTTCCAGAACTCTTTCAGGGTCAAGGACATCTCCTCGGTAACATTGAAGAACCTGGTGAAACGTGCCTTTGTGTACAGTTTCCTGAAGTTGCTGATCACTTGCTGGTCCATGGGCTGTAGAAGAGGTGTTGTGTTGGGGGGAGGAACCTGATCCTGATGAAATCCTCGTCGATATCATCCACCAAGGATGGGGGGTGTGCCGGGGCATTATCCACCAGCAGAAGGCACCTTTCAGGAAGCTGGCCGTCCGAAAGATATTTCTTGACAGTGGATGCAAACACTTCATAGAGCCATTCCATAAACAGCTGTCTTGTCATCCAAGTTCTTGAGTTGGCCCTCCACATGACAGGCAGTGTGGCCTTGTTAACTTTCTCTCATTGGAATGGGCGAGGAGTCTGGGAGTGGTACACCAGCAGAGGCTTAATCTTCAGATTGCTGGTGGCATTGGCACATAACAAAAGGGTCAAACTGTCCATGGGTTTGTGGCCCGGCATTTTCTGTTCCTCCTGAGTTATGGAGGTTCTCCTGGGCATCTTCTTCCAGGACAGCCTTGTCTCATCAGAGTTGAAGACTTGCTGTGGGAGGTGTTCTTCTTCCTTGATAAATTTGGCAAAGTCCAGCTTGAAGGTTTCTGCAGCATCATGGTCAGAACTTCCAGCCTCCTCATGTCTTACAACACTGTGGATGCCACTTCACTTTTGGAACCACCCCCTGCTGGCTTTGAATTCTTCTTGTGCTGCATTTCCAGAGGGGTTTCTTTCCATTAAATCACTGTGCAGCTTCTTCACTTTAAAACAAATAATGGCTTCACTGATGCTTTTCCCTTTCAGCTGTTTCTCATTCATCCACACCAGTAAAAGTTTTTCCATCTCTTCCATCAGGAGTGACCTGTGCTTTGTTAGGATTGTGACTCCTTTTGCCACATCAATATCTTTCAAGACATCTTTCTTCTTTAATATGATGCAGATGGTTGATTTTGCCATCTTGTATTCAGCAGCCAGTTCAGTCACATGCATGCTATCTTCATGCTTTTTGATTTTGTCCTTTTTCATTTCAGTGGAGATGATCTTCTTCTTCCCTTTGCTCTGCTCTTTCTTTGGAGCCATGAGTACTGTTCAGCACACCACAGTACACAAGCCCTAGGAGCCACAGAACCCAGCAACCATTATTCCAGCAAACAGACTGGGGGGAGCATGGGGGGGAAGCATAGAGAGAGAGAGAGAAGACAAGGGGGGGAGACTTGAGTCTAAACTCCATTTTAGAGGCCGCCAGCCAGCACAGACCTTTGCAAAACATTT